CAATTTGCCGCAGTAAAAATTCATCAAAATTAAGAAAATTAAGCAGGAGAATGCATAAAATTTACTCCAGAACTTAAGAGCTTCCAGAGCCAAAAGGTGTGCTTCACTCGGTCAAATAACCCTTGACTTCCCGATTTATAATTTAACATAACATATTGGTCCATCTCGGCTGTCCCATCCTCTAAACTAAACTAAAACTATTAAATAAAAATCTTAAATCCAGCCCTTATCATTCATATACTTATCAAGCTTTCTATTAAACTCATTTAAATTTACTGCCTCCACAACATTCAAAGGCAACCCATTCCAGAGGCCAATCGCCCTTTTAGAAAAATAAAGCTGTCTTAGCTGTCTTACTATTATCGCCGTTAAATATGAAATATAAAGATTATACACCATTATCAATTCCTCTTACAATCCTAAACACCTCAATCAGATCCCTTCTAACTCTTCTTTTTTTTGAAGAGAAAACAATTTCAGAGATCTTAATCTCTCCTCATATGACAACTTCTCTATCCCAGGCACAATTCTAGTAAACCTCCTCTGAACCTTTTCCAACAATTCAAAGGTAAGGAGCCTAAGACTGAAGACAATAATCCTAACTAGTGACCTATACAATGGAATTATAACATATTTAGACTTATATTCAATATTTCTGTAGATATAACATGTAATCTCATTTGTCTTACCACTAGCAACAGCTTCCTGCACCTCTGTTATACGTACTGAAAACAAACTAGGTCTGACTGGTCAACAGCTTTTCAAAATGATAAAAATAACAATAATTAACAATAACGTTGAGGTTAAACTACGCAAAACTTCAAGTGACATTTCATGTCACCAAGATTTCCTTTTACTGACATATAAAGCATTATGGTTTATAAGTTTTTCCAGATTTTGTATTCTTCATAGTTCATACTACACATTATATGAATTAATTAAAGCTACACATTGAATATTTGTGCATTTAAAATGTTTGTGTTTAATTTAATCGACTTTTTCAGCATTAAAAAATCTACCGGTGTGATCTGTATTCATCGTATATTGTAATACACCATTTCATACTGCTGCGTCAGCGAGATCACGTGACTAGTATCATGCCACCTGTTTTCTAGAACTATCCTGTTCCTTCGGGAGTGCTCTAGTATTTGCTAGATTGAGGGTGGGCTGGTAGATATAAGATGGTCACGGCGTGACGTGACGATGTGTGTGTAGGTTGTGAGTAATTGAGCTGCAGTCAGAGAGTATTGTTGAAGTTCGTTATAGCGTTTGTTTTAGCGCGAATGTTGAAATCAAGTGTATCGTAAAGTTATATTCAGAAAGAATAAACCAGTTTTATTAAATAAGGACTTGTGTCGCTAAAGTTTCGTCGGAACGAAGTTACGGAAAGTTAATTAACAAACGGAGACGTAACAATACTTTAAGTTTTTAAGTATTAATGAGGTGGTGGTGTTATAATGTTTCGGTCAATCCCACTAGTCGTTGGTAATAGAATTGCCCAAGAGTTGATGGTGGGTGATGATGCCTTCTCTCTAATTTTACATTGCTAAATTAAGGACGGTTAGCGTAGACAGCCCTCGTTTAGTTTTGCTCGAAATTCAAAACAAACAAGTATTAATGATTTTGCTCTATTTACATGAAGTTATTATATTTTAAGTTTCTTTGCGTGATTTTTTTAATACGAGAAATAAACGACCTTATAACACCAAAATGTCGTTTTTATTTAATTAGACACTCAACGTTTCGCGTTACAGCTTCTTCTAAACTCTAAAGCGTTCACTAAAACACAAACCGGTGTTATAAGGTTGTTTATTTCTCGTATTAATATATTTTCTATACGCTAATATGCATTACAGAAGACCCCCCTTCTCCCCCCCCCCCAGTGGCACAACATTATGTCTGTGGACTTAAAACGCTAGAAATCGGAATTCGATACTCGTGGTCGGCAGAACACAGATAGTCCATTATGTTGCTACAGAAATTAAATAGTGATTTTTTTTCTTGATATTTAAAGAAATATAAATATAATATAAGGATGGCGGCGCTACAATTCCGTCTTGAACGGGGTGTGTTGAACAAATCTAAAACGACAGAGTATTTCAATGTTCGAAAACATTGGCCTAGACTAATCAGGCCTAATACTAAAAATTAAATGGTTTTTTGTTGTTGTTCTTTATTCAGTTTGTATATATTAAATTTTTGATGAAAATTGTTTCATATAATATTATATATCTTATAAGTAAAAAAATATGTCAGTTAGTGATCCACTGTTGAAAGAACTCAAAGGTAAAAAGTTATTTCAAAATTTTTTAACTGATCAAAAATTTATTCTTACAATACATTTACAACTACTGAACTAGTTGAACTACAAATACAATATTAATTTACTACTATTAATAGTACTGATCTTTTGTAATGGCATTGATATTCCTCAAAGCTGTTACTGCTTATTTTGATGAGAATATATCTATATTTTCAGAAAGCATTTGAAAAGTTACATGAAATTTAAAGACTCTTTGAAAATTATCTCTACCGCTGTACCTGCACCAGTGCGGGGAGTGGAGAAATTAGATCGAGAAATATCTGTATATCTAGGGAAAAAGTAAAGGGGTTGTTATAAATATAAGTTGGTATTGATTAATTTCGTAAGGGGGGTATCTCATGTCTTAGTCAGTTAGTGTTGGGACCATTATTCTTTTTGATTTAAATATATCATTAAATCAATAAATGACATAGGTAAGGAATAAACAATAACTTTCTTAACCCTCATTTACAGATTACTCATTAGCATGCCTGGGGTTCATATGGATCCCAATGACTTTATCGGTTATATATCTTTTTACATAACTGTTATAAATTTATATTTATTCATGTAATTGTCAAGCAGAAACTCTGGATAAATATGACACTATTGTTTTCGAAACAGGCAGACAGAGTATGTAGCTATAATCTAATATTTATCTGGTGTCCATGCGGACCACATACCAATATTATTATCATTGACCATCACTATACATGCAGTTTGCCCTAAAGCATATAAAACAAATTTATAAACGTTTATTTCACTATATAGGCTGTTATAGAGGATAATCCATCAAACTCAAAGTAGTACAGTATCATCTGGTCTGTTTGCTTATAACATCGTTGTGGTAAGCATGTATGCACATGTCATCCCTCAACAAATGTTCTCTGTGATGACTGCTTATAATGCTCTATTTATTAGAAACCATGTTTGATAATTGTTGTAAATAACCTGCTTATTAGATTTTCAATACATAGCCTACTATAAGGATACATTTGTGTTGGGATCTGGTCGGACCCAAGGTGACCCACAACGTACACTCTCAGTTTTCGTGGACTCAGTTTGATTTGAATTTTGCAATATTGTTGTAATGTTGTCATTATTGGTAGATAATGACTTGAATATAGGAAAATAGTAAAACTTCGGCATTTTTTTTATATGATGTTTGTATAAGGGATTGTTTAATACTACTTATTTGTATACTGAGGAACAAAATAATTTTGTAATTTCTTGATTTGTCAACATATTTTCTTTAAAATACATATATTTTTATGCTGTTCACATTGCATGCTAACCCTAAAAAAGTTGTAATGCAATTTGTTTTTGGAATTTCAATCTAGAGCTTACCTTAGTGGTAATTTTGTGCTAGGGTCCAGTTGGACTTCAAGTGTACCATAATGTAACTTTTCAAAGGTGTGTTGATGAGAGTTAAATATGCTGATGATATTAAGGCTTTGGTGTTGCTAGCTGTGAGGATGCTGCTTCTGCTTTACAAAAGGATTTAGATCGTTTGTTGAGTAGGGTGATTAACTGGCAGATGGCTTTCAATTATAATAAAGGCAAGGTAATGCATGTGGTTTATAATAAATTAAGCTATAAGTGTAATTCTGATATGAATAACTTTAAGAGCATTATGGAAGAAAATGAATCTTTTTGTTTTGGTTGATCAGTCTTTTAAGCCATCCAAACAACGTACTGTTACTAGTGGTGTATCAAGAGATATAGTTAATATTTATAAATCTAGTAGAAACTGACTGCATATATAAAATGAAACTTTCTTATATTGCACAAAAAGATAATGCATCAGTACTAACAAATCCCTTAATCATCTCTAACTTTTTTCAAGAGAAAACAGTTTCAGAAATCTTAATCTATCCTCATGTAATAACCTTTCCATCCCAGGTATCATCCATTGTTTAATACCTTTAAAAAATTAAATGTCCTTATGGTAAGAAGCATTGGAATGAACACAATGCTCTAAATGAAGCTTAACCAGACCTACAAAATGACTCTTTTAGACCTATATTCAATATTTCTGTAAAGACAACCTAAAATCCTATTTGCCTTTTTCTTTTGCTAAATAAAGTAATTACTGCTTCTGACTATAAATTGTAAAAAATATGGAAAAAACAGAATGATTTTTCAGTGACCCTAGACCTCACCTCTCAAAATAGTGTTACCATTACCTTTTTCAGGATAGATAGCAATATTTTGATAACTGTATTCTTAGTTGAGATCATTTATAAATTATAAGCCAAGTTGGGAAGAATAAATTGTGCACACTTCAGTATTCAAAATTTCCTATTTAATGATGCATTCAATCGTTTTTTATACAAGAACAAAAAGATAATTCTTATTACGACTGCAAATTTCTCTTTAAAAGATAATTTTAAATAGGAAATATATTTTCTTCCAATGTGGTACATTACTTCTTTTCACATAAATAGCGATTCTCACTCATTGCTGCCCTTTATATGTTTTATGCATGCTACAAGTCTTTTTTTTTTCTCTCCTCAATTGAATTGACTAATTGCAATGTGTCTCATGCAAATCATCATGCGACAACCCTGCACCAATAAGAGTGCGACATACTCTCATTACGCATGTGATTCCCTCTATTCAGTTTTACCTAACTATCATTTCTCATTTGGCAGTACTCGTGTTCAGAGGTTTTTTTTGCTTTTGGTGCTTTTCGTGTACTTCGCACTTGTAAATTTAATGGTTTCAATTCCAAAGTGGGATTGTTTCATTAATTTTTTTTTTCATTATATTGAAGTTGCCTTTCACTTTAACTTAATTTCCCAGTCTTTATTTTTTTTTCTCTCTCACATTTGTATTTGTCTATCAAACATTTTTGTTTGATTCATATTTCTTAAATTAATTATGAGGTTCATGTTACCACTTCAGGTATAATATCTCCTACAAACATTTTTTTCACAGGTTGCAGGTGGGGTAACCTGTCGTTGCATTTATCAATGATTATCAATCTAAAGATTGATCATTATATCGGTCAACCAATTTCTCTCCTGAACTTGCCCCACTTCCTCCTGAACAAGCTGAATCCGTTTCGGCCGATAAAGATAGCCTTTTTCCACCACCGGATTTTGCTATGTCTTCCTATACCCAACTTGCAGAATAAGCTAGGCCTAATACAGCATTTTTAGACATGATTTCCCAGGTATTTGATGTTTTATCCATTTCTCCAATTTCCTATGATCCCCATCTTTCATTGATGCATGGTAGTTCTTCCTCTTTTTATTTAGTTTTCCCACCATCCCCAGATATTAGGGTTCATGCTGAGCAGTTTGCTTCATAATTGGTTGAGGGTGCCAGTATGCCTCACCTTTCACAGGCTATGGATCAGTTTGCTTTGGCTTACCATCAAGCTGACTAACCATTTCTTGACTCTCAACAGTTAGTCTATTTTACCCGTGTGTGGGGTAGTCCTTGATTTTCCTGCACATTCAACCCATGTCCAGTTTTAACAACTTCGTCTTACCCTTACTTCACTTCTACAGTATTTATCTACCATACTTCTTTCCAAGGTGATACACCGTGATCCTGATGGTTTTTCGAGGGACAGCCTCTTTCTTATTACTTCCATTTATTGTCTTTGGCTCTTGCTTACACGGGTGGTTTCTCTGTTGTTGGGATCTTCTGGGTCTTGTCCCCAGGTTGTTTGCCACCCACTTGTTTAAGGGATGTATGTTTGGCCCCTCTTCTTCGGCGTTATCTTTTCGACCATGTACCTATGACTTTGGAATCATGTGTGCAGTCTGTGCATTAACACTTTACTCTTTCCTCTTTGGTGGCCATTTGTCATAGTCAAAACCATGACAAGCCCCTATTCCTGTTTCCCATCCTAGTCCTTCTCAGCCCTTACCTATTCCTCCCTCCAGGGGTTCCTCATCTCGTGGGTTCCAGTCCAATGGGAGCTTGATTATGCAAATTTGTTCCTCCTTGGTGATCTTTCACCAGAGATCAGTGGGTTATTCAGTTTTAGCAGAGGTACCTGTTTCCTTCCCTATGCCTCAGGGTCCTATCACCTTCCAGTGTCTGTCACAGGCAGTACAAGACCTTTTGTTTCAACAGGCCATTGAACCTGTTCATCAACTTTTTCCAGGCTGTTATTCTAGGCTGCTTGTTGTCCCCAAGAAAACTGGAGACTGATGGCCTGTAATAGATTTGTCCTGCCTCAATAAAGTTCTCAATCTAACTCATTTTACCATGAATCATTTCTCACCCTTAGGTGGGCTTTTTTCCAGGTTTGTGAATGATCAAGATAGATGTCACAAATGCTAACTTGCATATTCTGATATCTTGTCAGTTGCAACCATATCTTTGGTTTGTTCGTTGAGGGGTGGCTTATCAGTTTCTTGCACTACCCTTCGAATTGTTTCAGCTCTGTAGATTTTTTATCAGGGGGTCAGAGCATTTGCTCATCACCTACATGCTCTCGGGTTGTGCTTTTCCGTGGGCTCTTCATGACCAATGGAATCTTGCATAGGATCCTTTGCAGGCTCTTATTACCCTTCCTCCTACCCTATTTGATGATATGCAATGGTAGTTGGACAAGACTCGCATATCGGCAAGTGTCCTGCTTCCTCCTCCTCCTTTACACATTTTCATGGATGCATCCCTTCAGGGATGGGGGATGTGGGTCGATCAACAGAAAGCTTCCTGTTGGAAGGATCCCTCGTCCTACCCCCCATGGGGATGTTGGTTCCCAGTGGCCAGGTTTTGGATTTAGAGTAAAACCAATCAACATAAGTCTTCACACGTGTATTACAGATGTCTATATTCTTCCATCATTTATACTCCATCAGTGTTGTGGGTCATGGTGGAGGTAATTGTGGATTGTTACGGTTCTTTCCCTTCCAAAAGCCCTTGATGTTTCTTATTCTGAGAATTGCTTGGGGTGGTTCCAGTCAATTTCATTTTGAGGGAGATGGTTTATATTATGTAGACATCTTTTGAATACCTCTTGTCGGGTTCCCTGATCTAACTATCAATTTATCATATTCACATGAACCTCGTTCATGACTCGGGGGGGTACTAGATTCCCTCTGATCTCATGAACTTAAGGTGAAAAATGATATGATCGTCTTTCCTACCTCTGCCTGATGGCTGGTTTTTGGATTGTAGTTGACTTGCCACCAGTAGAATCCTCATTTCTACGCCCATATGGATGTCAGTTCCTGGTGGTCTGGGATTTGGATTGTAGTCAACTTGCTGGTGGTATGATTCTCGTCCTACCCCCGCATGGATGTTGTTTCCCAGCGGCATGGGTTTTGGATGTAGTTGACTTGCCGTGTACGAGTCCATTGTGCCTTAGCCACTTTACACCTAGGGGCACATCCTTTTCATTTTACCCACTTTTATAATTTCTGGGATTGAGTTTCATAAATATTGCATGGTTCGGATCACTTTCCAGCCATAATTCTCTCCCAGTTGGATGAACTCCTCTGTTTTCCATTTATATATGCAACATTTTTCTACGATGAGTGAAGATTATACCTGGTTCAGATGTGGTGTGGTCTCCCTCATCAGATTTTAAAATCTGGCTATCTCATTTTAGGAAGTGTCCTTTGGATGCTTTCAAATCAATCATTACATAACATTCAGTGTTATTAGTGTACTTTAGTAATCCTGAAATGGTTTTTATATCATGCTGCCACTGCCTATAGTCTCACCTAATATAAAACTGCCAGGATAAGTAACTTTAACACAATGTATAGCTAAGAAATACAAGTAACAAAAGAAATTTAGCAAAAATTAAGTATGATGTAGGGATAACAATGCCAAAAAATACAGAAACAAAGTAGGGATGAATACACAAAACCATACAAAAACCACTACATAGGTAGCCAGTAAGTACTGAGTCAATCTTACAAGTATATGGTTATTAGCTACTGTAAGACTGTATAGAACTATTCAGTTTAAATGCTTTTATTCAAACCTGAATGCATACAACTGACAGCAATTCAAAACTAAGTTGTAGATAAAAGTTATTCATGGAAAGATTGGGCTACTTATGTAGTGATTTTTGTATGATTTTGTATATTCATCCCTACCTTGGTTCAGTACTTTTTGGCATTGCCATGCATACATGATACCTAATTTTTGAATATTTTTCTTTTACCTGATTCCGTCTTTTTTTTAAACAATTTCATTGAAGTAGGTTGATAAGCGAACATTTATTTTATTTTTATAATTCAATGGTAATATATATTGTTAATATTATATCAGTTTTGTAAGATTCTTCATTGCACTTGTAAAATGATCTCCAATACTAATATTATACCTTACAGCTGGCTACAATAGATTATTAATCATCACTGGTCATAATCTTGACCTCTTGGGACTTAATGTTGAGGAACCTACAGTAAGGATAGATCATATGAAAACTGTATAGCTGTATTATCCCGATATTCATGTTTGCATTCTTTTTGGCACTGCCATCAGTACATCATTTTACATTTATAAATCATTTTTTATTACTTGTTTTATGACGTTTTCCCCCTGACTGTAAGTTAGTGTATTCTATGAATGTGTCTAATAAAAATTTAATATTTTGTATATTTATTTATTTTTTACTCCTTCACTTCATACATAATATAGGGGTAGGCTCTCTAATTAAGGTTTTATTTATTTTTAGCTTTTACTAAGTACTGCTGAGCTTAGTGATAGCCTGTTCCCAAGTGTTCTTAAAATGCTTTTCTATCATACTAAAGCCATTGCATAAATTCATACATTTTTTGGATAGTGTGGAAGAATAAAAATGAACACTTTGGCTCTTTAGCTAGTTCCCATTTCTCCACTTTAGGAACAGTTTTCAATGATATTGGGAATCTCACAAGCTGTGAAACACTCAATAATGGCAGTTAGGTGCCCTAATAAGGCTAGAACTCAACCATAACAGTTATTTGTAAGCATCACAGAGTAACATTGAATGTGGCAGCCATTTTTTTTTCAGCTCATCACTAAATACTAAACATTACTATACTTAGTGATAACAGAATGCTATAGCATTTGAAAAAAATATACTTTGTGATCTAATGAATTGTGTGAATTTGGTATCACTGATATCCAGTGTTATATCTATGCTATATCAGTTCTGAAATGGGTTGTTTATGTTTGAATTGGTATTAGTAACAGACTTGAATGAAAATATGTTTCATCTCTAAATTTACTTATTTTTTAGTTTCATCATATCCTGATAAAAGTTTTGTGTACATTTTTTCTTTTCATATATCTCCAGTCCAACCTATATAATACTTATTAAGAAATATAAAAAAGGCAATGCATTCAATGTGTTATATGCTGATTGCTGCAGTCTTATTCTTTAATCAGGCCTATTTCACAGATATAATTCATATAGTGAAACATAAACCTACCCTAAAAGTCCTCTCAAGCATATAATTTGGTATATTAAAAAATAAAAATTGTGAAAAGCTCTAAACAGTTTATATTTTTTCCATTTATTATTTATCTTCTTAGGTAGCATAAAATCAAGATTTAGTTGACTTTCATCCAAAGATAGTGACACTAATACCACTCATGCATTGGTTATAATTTGTTTTGTATTTGTATGAAAACACAACTCGTAGCATAACATTAAAAAAAAAATATCGATTATGTTTTATTAAGCATATTATTGGTTAGACCATTTACGCATGTTGTAATTTCAACAAAAAATGCTTTGGAATGCTGAAGAAAATAAGCCCGAAAGAAAACAAAAATAAAACCTAAATTTTTTACTCTAATTTCTATTCAAAAAATAAATTTGGTTATTGTTTTCTGTTTTAAGATATACTTCATGGTAGCAATAAAAATGTTTGAGTTAATATATAACTGATACTTTAATAAATGCATGTTCTTAGTAAAGAATTTGTTGTATATGCACTTTAACTAGAAGAAAAACAGAAATTTGGGAATATACTAGCTTCATTTTTGTTTCTTCTCATTAAGAGTTTTACTTGTTTTTCCTAAGGGCATGTTTTTGAACTTCGAAGATTGTCTGAAGTGGCTGAGGTGAGGGATCATAACCCTACTGTACTTCCTTTTTGCTCAACTGTAGAAAAAATTCTTAGAAAAGGACTTTCAGGTATAGAGTTATAATTAAGAACTAGCTCTTTTGGTATGAAAAGTTTCAGAAAAATATTTTTATACTTGAAAGTAAGCACTATGGTACCCATTTTTAAAGAAGAAAAGAGTGTAATATTTGTATTACTGTCAACACTGATCCTCATCATAAAATATTTGTTCACATAAACAAGGTTGATCTAACATAAGCATTCTTGTCAAACACTGTTCTTCTCCTATCACATAAGTAAATTATTTGTTTAAATTCATGGGGCTGAGTTATCTAAAATGATGATTCTATTCAAGTACTGATCTTCATTTATTATATGTATAACAGTTTTTGTTGTTGTTTATAGTAAGGTCTTTCTCATTAGTGTGGGTCCTCATCACTTTATGGGTAACAGTTTTGTATTTACAGTCAAGGGTTTCGTTTATAAAATGTAATGTTATGTTTATAAAAAAGAGGATTTTAAAATGCTTATTGAAATTTTTAAAAGGTACAGAAATGTTTGCAAGAGAGTCAGTACATTTTACTGAGAGATCTTGCCTGAATATACTGGTTTATACAGTTGTGGCAGTCTTGGAGCAAAAAAAAGTCCAGTCATCACTTTAGTTTTGCATTTTTATACTTGTGAATGGACATCCAACAAATACTGAAGGGTAATTGAATAACACCTGTTCACTGGAGTTGTCTTTCCTTGTTTACATTTCCACTTGACAAATGGAAGATATTATAGTGAACCTGCACTTTTCATTTTAATTTTGTGATTTGTTGGAAGTAGCATTCTCCTTTACATAAACTACATCTTGTATCGTGTGTTGAAAACTACTGAGAATATGGTCAAATATAATCTTAATAAAAACAACCTTTGACTCTCACTGAAATGGAACAGTTAAAACTGGTTGCTGCTAGGTGACAATGCAAAAAAACCCACATGTATGCATATAGTGCTGAACTACTGTTGGCTTTTACAAACAATGAGACAAGATAGCCGAGAATAATGTTAAAACAAATGATAGGTTTGGCCAGATAAATCTTTATTGATATTAAGGGTAAAACTGTTCTCCCTCCATTTGATTCTCTCCTCCGTATCACACATATGCCTCCAAAATCATTTAAGGCAAAATGTAATGAGTTTGGAACATTTCATTTTTGCACTTAATGAAATATCTGGATAATAACTGCGCTGATCTAATATAAGTTTACATTTTAGAACTGATCCTCTTTATATATTTTTATTTAACTTTCCATACGAGACCGGTTGATGTGACCAACTTTATAATCACAGAGTAACCATCAGAGTTTCCATAATATAACTTTTAATATGTTTCGTGTATCTTTATGATATTTTGCAAGTTTTCAGTATAAAGTCTTTTTGTATACAAAAAATTAGATTTTTTCTAGTTAAGTATTATTACTAAATATTTGTCTGTGAACATATGGAGTAAGAATGTTGACTGCTCTGAGTGCAAAGTGATTTTAATGTTAAGATTAAAAATACATTTCTTCATTTAAAAATGTTCATATTTCTAAAACCTACTAAATAAATATCAAGCATTTTTTTTCTCTATAAAAATTTATATCTTATCTGATATTTTCTGTACCCTAACTCTTTACAGACTTGGTTGATTTGACCAACCTGTAACCAACAGGTTTTTTTCTTTCTAGAATGGCTGCAGATTGTATTATTTAATTAAATTAGCATTTTATTTTAAAATTCTTCGAGGATTGTAAGATTACAGTGTAATTTATCTAGTCCTGTAAAAATTAATACAGTTATACTCTTTTTATTTTACAAAAATGATAGTTAAAAGTTATTATATTTAATTATCATGATTATAGGATAAAACTACCAAGAAATACTAGATTTATAAACATTTTTATAATAACAAAAAGGTGCTTGAATATTCTATTTTGATTATACTTTAATAGAGCTAATTAATTTGATATTGTTTATTTTCATTTAATTTAACAATATTTTCTTTCTCTTTCATCAGCATCACCTCGAACTGCATTTGGACCAACTACTAAGGATTACTGGTATTGGCTAGAGATACTTCTTGTTCGTAGAACACTTAACAAGTATGTGAGACAGTGCAACTTTTAAAATGTGTGTTTGGGACACGCATTTCAAACTTTACTACAATGAAGCACAATTAAGATGAGTTATATTTAGTGGTACTTAAATCGTAATAGTTTATGTGGTTGATGCAACTACTAGAGCAACAGGAATGTGATTGAAACCTTTTTAGGTTTCATCTGAAACTTAAACATTTGGTTATTTAGTCAGTTTCATTCTATAAGTAAACCTACATCAAGTTGTTTGTTATCAGCATAAAACTCTAGTATGTGTTAATAAGTCACTTAGTTGTCATATTCCACCAGCAAGAGTTAAATGTGTATTTTTTTAGATGCATGATATAATTGGTATTTCCATTGCTTTTGAAAGCTTTCCCTGAGAAGGTTAGTTATTTTTTTCAGAAACGATGGATACCCTTCCAGTTTTATATATACTGCCAAGAAGAACAAGATTCCTCAGCACTCACAAGAAGACCAAGTTCAACAAAAATCAATCATTTCTCTACCTTAAATTCTTAAGTTAAACAAAAACTTAAAATGATTTGGCAGAAATTTAATGTTAAAGTTTATTTTAAGCCACAAAAAATGCTTTTGAAACATCCTTACTAAAGTGACCAACCAACTAATAAGTCCAAACAAAAAAACCCATCAATGAAGTACCATGTTTATGTGGCAACATATATTTGACTGTAGTATAAAGATTTAAAGAACATCCAGATAAATTGTCCTTGGCTGAACAAAACTACAAATTATGACATCATAAAATGGATCAAAATATAATTTACCACTGGAAAGAAGGAAAATTCAAAGAAGCTATCTGTATCAAACTACACCAACTTGAACTCAGCAGAGACAATGATTTGTATATCGGAAACTGGTAGACAACCACCCACAACAAACTGTTGATAGTATGATGACATCAGAGTACTACTGACGACACCCGCCAGTCATCACCCACTCAAACTACACAGCTTAGAACTTTACTGCATGACCGGCCACACTTATCTTTATAAGACAGTACACAGTTACCTACCATGACCAGAAGAAGGCCTCAGTATAGAAGCTAAAACATTATACCTTTTTATTTAACAGTTCAGTTGCAGTCCATTAAAATTCTCATGCTTGCTATGTCAACTCTGCATAAAGTTTCACTAAAACAACGTAATCATGCAGTATTTGATAACACTATAGAATGGGGCTATCTGTCAACTGAAGAATTAAATTGTTTTTAGTTTGAATAGGTTATGAAGGCAGATGGATTAGAATATACAAAATACAATTTGACTGCAGAATGCCTTTATTTATCTGTGTATTTTTATATTTCCAGACTGCCAGTTCCAGTATGTGATGCAATTGAACTAGTGAAGTGCTGTAAAAAGGTAACACATTCTTATTTTACTTGTAATGGTGAGGGTGCAAAATGAGTGGAAGAATCTGTACTATTACCATATTACTGAGTCTTAAACACCTTAAACAATTTTAAAATATTACCAAAATGTTCAGAGTTTAGACATTTTCAATAAACTTGTTTTGGTTTAAGAATTATCAAAAAATTGGTGCAAGATGCATGGTAGAATGTATGTCTGATGGAAATTAAGGTAATAATAATAATAGGTCATTTGGCCGTGACATGATTTATTTCTGGTTTTATTTGAGAAAAAGAGAACAAACTTGACCTAAACTTAACTTTTATGAAAAAATTTGGATCATATTCTGATACGAAATTATTTATATGAGCCTAAATTATAGTTGCTGGATTTTCTCTTACGATGTAACTGTAAGATGAGGCTGTGAATTTGAAACTGTTCTTTAAATATGTGTACCCATGGGAACAAGGAAGGCATGCTTCATTTATAGCTTCTATTAAGTGGCTCCAGGTGGTTAATTCAATTTTGAACATAACTCTATAAAAGGTCATGATATGTGCAATTTGACCCTGCAATGCACATAGGGTTAAGGCTATTACATATATTTGTTGATTTTAAATATGACTGAAACAGCAAAGTGTACATAAAAGAAATAACCTGCATAACTAATAACTATAATTTTGGAAAAGTTATTTATCAACTATTCTGTTATTCTTATAAAAAAAACAGATCCATTATTTTTGTAATTTAGTTTAGTTTTAAAAATTAATTCATTTTGTATGCCTTGTGATTTTCCCTTGATGAAGAATCTTGCTGTTTTTTGAAATGTTGGAGACTGTTTTTAATGTTTTTTAAACAAATAAAAAAAACTGTTTTTAATAAGCAAAAATAATTAATAAATAACTTAGCTAATAATGAATCTATTTTTCTGATACGATGACTCACCTCAGTACACAGATTAGCTATTTTCCTCTTGAAGTCTTGTTATTCTGCCTTCAGCCTTGTAAGACTTCCACCTAAAATGCACATGAAAATGTGTGAATTTGTGCTATTGTATGATGTTGTACTATGCAGCAAAACCCTCCACCAATAGGAGTGCAACATACCTCTGCACAAATGTTTCTTCTACATTCCCAGTCGAAAATCGTCACTCTTTTCCTCAGCACAATTTTTCTAAGATGTGTTCATTTTTTTTGAGACTTGTTGAAGTATTTAACTACCATGAGTACATGTGAAGAAGTCATGAATTATATGTAAACATTACCTTCTATTTGGTCATGTGAAGAAGAAGTAAATCTGAACAAAAGATCAAAGACTATGAGTTATATGTGAAAGAGCAACTATGTGTAACTACACATTAACATCTATGTATACATATGAAGAAAAGATAAATTATGGGTTAAACATAATATCCTAAGTGGTATATGTTAAGTAGTAAGTAATTGTGATCAAACATTATAGTTTAAGTAGTACTATTTAAGGATTAACGAACTAATTATAAACATATATTGTATGTGGACATGTTAAGGAGTAACAAAGAATGTGGAAACATGAAGTCCTAAGATACATATTAATGAAGAATAAACTATGTCTAAACAATAACTTCTGAATGTTACTTGGTAAGGCAGAAAGAATGAGGCATAAAACAGCAGGAGCAAATTGAAATCTGAAGTAAATACTGGGTGTGACACTGACAGAGGAGAAGAAAGAAAACAATACGTAGGAGGCGTACATAAGGTGGAAACAAATATCGAGAGATATTCAGTAGGTAGAGAAGTATTGAGTAGAAAAGTCACTCCATTTTGTCCTCCTCAACTTCAGCTTCAAAATCTGTGAAGGGAAATGTATGGAAGAAGAGGGTCCAGATGGTAACCTATGACCCCACCACATATTGGACAATTACACTTCTTCTTACTGTAGTTGTCAACCTGAATGCACCTTTGCAATACATGATGGCTAACATAATCTTAACAGGCAAAGAACTTCCTAAATTGTTGGTAAATGTGAGTGATATTTGTATTCACATCAGCAGAAACGAATTACATGTTAGTTAATCTGTGAATTCATATTGAAAGGTTAAAAATGCATAGTAAAGTTCTTGAAGTAATGCTTAGTCTTAATTTATTATACCTTGCCATGTATACATAACTATTAATGTTTGATTCTTGTTCCTGAACTCAGTCGAAGCAACTGAGTCCATAGCAAGAGTGTTAACAGAAATTCATTTTAAAAAAGAAATCACATGAGAATCTATAAAAATACTAATCTACAAGCATATGATTAAGTAATTGCAAACTTAATAAAGTAATTTATCAATGAAGTGTCAAATTTGTGAATATATAAATAAAGTTTTAAGACCTTAGTCTAAGTATTGAAATTCATTCTATATACAAAAGAGAAGAGAGCTTACAACTACAACCTAAGAAAATTCCTCGCTTGCATATTTTATAAATATGTTTCTCATGCTTCTTCCTTCAGAAAAAAATTTGAAATTCTTATCAATATCTCCAAGTTGTTAGTCATTTTGTTCAATTAGTCATATTTGATGTAAAAAATCTGTTCACTGAAGTTCCTGACCTTGAAGAAATAAATGCTGCCCTGGAATGGTTCTAATATTCGTTTTCACTTAAACACCAACAACATAAGAGAACTTTTCCTCTTTGTTACTAAATCATTCACTTTCCAGTTTGAAGATGTAAATTATATCCAAATTGAAGATATTGCCATATTGGAAATCCTGTAGCTCCAGTACTTGCCAATATATTACTGATAAGAACTGAATATATTGCCATATTGGAAATCCTGTAGCTCCAGTACTTGCCAATATATATTACTGATAAGAACTGAAGATATTGCCATATTGGAAATCCTGTAGCTCCAGTACTTGCCAATATATTACTGATAAGAATTGAAGATATTGCCATATTGGAAATCCTGTAGCTCCAGTACTTGCCAATATATTACTGATAAGAATTGAAGATATTGCCATATTGTAAATCCTGTAGCTTCAGTACTTACCAATACATTACTGATAAGAATTGAATACATTGCCATATTGGAAATCCTGTAGCTCCAGTACTTACCAGTATATTACTGATAAGAACTGAAGATATTGCCATATTGTAAATCCTGTAGCTCCAGTACTTACCAATACATTACTGATAAGAATTGAAGACATTACCATCTCAAATTCACTTTACAAACTCATTTTTTGATTTCAGTATGTTGAGGACATTTTTTCAGCTTTCAATAACGTTAACATTATTCTCGAGTTTTTCGCTCATCTAAACTAGATACACTCAAAACAAAATTCATGATGTAAAAAGAAGTCAAGAACACTCATACTGGACTCTACGTTCCTTGAAATTCCCTTATGACCAATTTCAAAAGCTAGGGATATTAAAAGGTGCTATCTGTACAAATAAAATCATAAGATCCAATATTGATTGTTTCAAAAAAGAAAGTTAATGATCTTAGATATCATTTTTGTGTAAAAACAATTTTCTTTCCACTTTTTTTTAATAAAGTAATTGCTTTCTTTCAAAATAAGCCACAAATTGACATATAAAGTGATTCTTCCGAATATTTCCCATTTCTTGTGTTTTACTGTTCATCCCAGACTTCTCTCATGCTCTCAAAAAGTCTGATTAAAAATGGTCAGAGTGTATAAAATTGACATTAAAGTACAATTTACATTTTTACCTGGAGAAAAGCTAGGTCAACTGGTATCCAAAAAGTTTATAGATAATGATACTTCAGGAAATGTGTATATAGTTGAATGTACAAATTGCAAAAGCTGTTATATATTGGTGAGACAAATGAACATCTTTTTACTTGTTTGTATGAACATTTAAAATCTCCATCTCATGTTTTTGAACCCATGTCTAGGAACGATCATTCTTTTGATTCTTCTAAGGTAAAAATTCCCAGCAAAGAAGACAACATTAACTGATGAAAAATAAAAGAAGCCCTGTTAATAAAAAAATCAAGAACCTATTTTTTAACAAGTACAGTTTTACTATTTTGATCTTTCCATTCTCTCTTGTAGGCCACCAGTGGCACAGTGGTATGTCTCCGGAGTTACAGTGCTAGAAACCAGGTTTCGTTATCCATGGTGGACAGAGCACAGATAACCCATTGTGTAGCTTTGTGCTTAACTTCAAACAAACAAACTCTCTTGTATATAGAACAAATTTCAGTACTTATATTCAGACCTAAAAGTTTTATTTATATATTAATAAATTTGACAGTTCATTGCTAAATTATTTTAATAAGTTTATAATTACTTAATCACATACTTTTCAATTAGTATTGTTACAGAATCTCACATGATTTCGTTTCTAAAATCAATTTCTCTTTACCTCAATTCTTGATGATGCCAGGTAAACTTGGTGAAACCTGTTGTGAAGAAAATAAACAAAAAGTTTTACTATATACAACCAATAATAAACTTATTTGAATTAAAAAAAAGTAGTTCTTTCTAATATTTAAGAAAAATGAACTATTGTTGTTGTTTTTGAAGAAGATTCTATTAAATAAATATACTGTTCTACATCAGTGTTCCCAGTGTGTGGTTTGATACCCCTTCGGGTATGCTGAGGCCTTCCTTTCTAGAGGTGCATGAGAAGCTTGGGAAAACATTACAAAGAAATTAAACTCTATAGTTCAAAATTGGAGGGCAGTCTCGGTGAGGTGCCAACATATTCCACTAGTCAGAAATAAACATTCATGTATTATGAACTCACCCTTGACTTATTTGTTTTTGTTTATCTTTTAAATTACATAAACTACTTTTAACTTGCTTGTTTTTGTTGTACGTTTCAGGGTTACGCCATTGGTTCAAAGGTTTGACAGAGAGTACATAAAAAGGCTGGAGTCACTATCCAGCATTAACAGATTCTACTTGTCTAAAATAGCCAAGTATTATATTCATTTTTATGTGTTGTATAGTTAAAATTTTGAGAACACATAGGATCAATAACATAATAATAAACAAACATCTAAAATATAGTGAACACAAACAAAGGAATATAGCTTTAAAAGTATTGCATAGAGACCCAAGGTAGAATTTCAAAATATTTTTCTGAGGAATTGTGGTTTAATACTATTGTATTACTAGCTGGAGTACCCGTCCCCTAGATGGAAGTTATGTAAACTCACGATTAATGAAAGGTTACCTTGAGACATGAAAAGTTGCTTTCCTTATACATAAAAAACGGCCATAAAAACTTCAAAACAAAATTTGAAACTGCAAATTTGCATGTATCTCCGCTTGGACCAAACAAACCTTCATGCCAAATTTGGTGAAGATCCATCCACAGGATGTGCGGCAATGCTAAAAAAGTGCAAAAATGCCCATAAAAACTGCAAAATGCAAAACTGAAAATTTGTATGTATCTCTGCATGGACCCAGTGAATCTCCATATCAAATTTGGTGAAGATCCATTAACAGGGGGTGAAGTAGTGGTAAAAAACACCAAAAAAAACAGCAAAATGCAAAATTTGTATGTACCCCTGCATGGACCTAATGACCTCCTTATCAGTTTTGCTGAAGTTCCATCCACACCCTGCGAAGTAGTTACATGGACATACAACAGACTTATATAGACTAGCTGGAGGACCCATCCCCTGGATGGAAGTTATGTAAATTCATGTTTAATGAAAGGTTATTTTAGGACATGAAAGTTGCTTCTCTTGTATGTAACTGGAAAAAATGCCCATAAGATGTGCAAAACACAAAATGTGAAACTGCAAGATTACACGTATCTCCGCACGGACACAACAAATCTTCATGCCAAATCTGATGAAGATCCACCAACAGGGGGCAAAGTAGTGGTAAAAAATGCCCATAAAAGCAGCAAAGTGTAAAACTGAAAATTTGAATGTACTCTTGTTTGGATCTAATGAACCTCTATACCGATTTTGGTGAAGATCCATCCAAAGTAGTTAAATACACATACAACAGACCGTACTATTATTCTTATATAGATTTCAGTAAGTGGCATGAGTTATTTTAACAAGTCTGATGAATGGGAATGAGGAAGGTTTTTTTAACATTTTAGAATTCTAATAGAGACATTTTAGTCAAGAAACAATTCAAGTAATATTGTTGGTTTAAATTTGTACTGCATCATTTTTAAATATGTGAGATTGAGAAGATTCAGTCCTTAGAGGTTACCATATATTTAGTATCTAAGCTCGAGTGTGAGTGAGTGAGTTATAAATATCAATTTAGAATTTAGAAGAAACATTCTGTTCTTGACTAAGAATGAGTTTTGTTAACCCTCAAATTACTAACTTGTTTATATACTACTCACTACTGATGTTGGTGAAATCTTTATATTGCATAATATTGAGTGATTTTGTGTTTTTATTGTTACAACACATAATGAAAAGAACTGGCTAAACAAATTGGGTGAAATCACTTGTTTTCTTTGTAAAAAACATAGGAAACCCGACAGTGATTAGTGAGATTAATTACAACAATAAAAGTATTCTTGATTTAAATTTTTTAGAAACTTCACATGTTATAAGGGACCCTGTAACCAATAAAGTTGTAGACCTGTAAGCAACTTGATAGATAAATAGTTTAAAAAGTTGATGGACCCCATGAGTAATTCTAGTGTTAAGAGTTAGATACTAAACCTTTATGTGATATTACATTTTGAACACTTTCGTTTCAATAATCTGTTGTTTATTTCTCTTTCTCCTGAGCAAATAATATGTCATGGTTTTGTGTAAGTGAAGTCTTAAACCAAAAAGTTGCTAGTGAATTGGAAATTTTTTAGGAATATTTTTTTTCTAAAAATTTGTCAGTTAAAAGGTCATAAAGATTTAGTTGGTAGCAGATGTGTTTGTATATTGTGTGTATGTGTATATATATGTTTAACATCTGTACTTGTGAATATGAAGTTTTAATGTTTTTTGTATTTGTTGTTAATAATGATGTAGCTGAAATATAGTTCATTCTAACTTATATACTATGAATAATTTATTGTTTTAAGTATAGCTTCTAAACTGTACCACCACTGTTCTGAATGTGACAGGTACAGACTAACCAGGGACGAGGCCGTTTGTTTCTTAGAATCGCTTTGATGAAGAAGTTTCTCTCAGTTACTATTGAGCACCTTTGTCAGGAAAAATCTCTAGTTCAGGTAACTTAAAAATAAAAGTAACATTTATCATTTCCATGTTGTTGTTTTAAATTTAGTATTAAAACTATTTATAAGTATAACTTGCTTGAAAACTTCTCATCCAGATGTTGCAGTGTGCACATGGGTGAAAGTTCTCCATCTGTAGATGGAAATCTGTGAAAATGACTTTTTCCAGGCATGATTACAAAGTACGATTTAAGTGAAATAAACACATTTTGCATTTTACTGCCAACACTGTTCTGATCTTTATTGGTCTGAACTTTTTCCAACCATTCTCATTTGCACAAGGAAAGGATCAAAATTGGTTAATTCAGTGATATATGTTTTATGTGCAACAGAGGCTTTAAAAAATTAATTGGGCATACATGTAAAATATTTGAGTATTGATGTTTAAAAATCTACCTAGTCTCATGTGGTTATCAGGTTGGTAACACCACAAGTTGTGATTTCTGAATTTCGTTTTTTCTACAAAGTCAAGTTAAAATTGGTTTCTGAAAGTTGTACAAAATGGTTCAAATGTATCTGAGAACATGCAAAACCCCAGAGCTTTTTGGGATCGTCTAAACCCCCAAAAGTAGATTTGTTTCAGTCAACATGATCATTTTGCACATTCATCCATGTGTATAATATATTACTGAAATAACTTGAATGTGCACACTTACATGTACACGTGGCTTACTTTACAGTTATTCTTATAGTTCCTTTAATTTTTTTTTTTCAGGACTAGTAAGATAACAATTGTCTCTTTGTATTTAATATTTTGTATAATAATTATTGAGTTTCTGTGTCTATGCTAGACTACTTTTTCTCTCTATGTGCAACAGTATTTTTCCTGCAACCTAAGCTTTACTTTGCAGCTGACTTAAATAGCCAACATTTCAGATATTAAGTTTTGTTATGTTTCATGTGAAATAAATTTTGATAATCTTTTCAAGTATTACACATGCACTTCTAATTACTTTACAGATAAATAGAGAACTGTCTTCATGTTATTGAGTAATGTAGTGTGTAGAAAATTGTACAGTAAATATTTTAGTAAAATATATAGAGAGAGTTAAGTGCCTGTTTCTAACCATGTTTAGTGTATTTATTGAATTCCTTCCTTAATTTGCTTAATTAACTTTTGTTTATTTAGTCCTTTTATGGACCTACTACATCTATATTAGGAAATGAAATTTTGGCAGGTAAGATATTTTGTTATCTAATACATAAACATGTGTCAAACAAATAAATATTTTTGGTTTCACTCTTTTTAATGCTAGGTAAGTGTGTTAAAGTTCTAGTAGGGTTTTGCTGTATTTTTGTGAACTTTTGATATATATTTTTAATATAGCGTCTTATATGCATATTTCTTAGCTTTAATGCTTTCATACATACATACATAAGGAAATAGTTTAATATTTATGGGAAAGGTAATCACAAACCTGAAAAATCTAGGAAAGTCAAAGAAAGTAGAACAGTTATCCATAAGTCGGAAAGTTGTTTCCTCCCCCCACTTTTTTTTTTAATCTCAGGATCTGGACTCGTATACTATGCTGTTTAGCTATGAGAAATCTTGGTCACTCTTTATATGTTATCTTATTTTGGGATAATTGTCTTATTTTATATGTTTGATGATAAAGTAGACCTAATTCGATGACTAGGAACCCACTTTGAGACTAATAATGCTTGGAGATGGCTTGAATGGGTAATGAAGAAAAACTTTAATATAAATTGAACATAAGAGCAAATGTACAAGTGACTTGATTATGTTGCATATTGTTGCCTGAGGCACTTGGATGGCCACTGACCTTTGTGTTCATGGATTCTCATATGTTTATGGATATTCCTTTGTTTTCCAATGCCATTAAGTGCATGGAATATCCCTGTCTTAGAAATTTTAAATCCCCAATCTGAACACATCTCAATGATCTGAGTGTATAAATATTTTGCATTGGAAAGGACTGTTACATGCCTTTAACAAAAGCGGTCAGTTTTTAGTAGCATCACTACCTATTAAATGCCAAATATTGTCAAAATATAGTTCTGAAACATTCTGTTCCACTTTGGTTTTATCAACTGTAGTTGTCATATCTTGCTGATTTGATTCTTTAAAATTGTTTTCATATTACACACACATAGCCTTCTCTATTTTGACATTTAACTTACAATTTTTTTGTTTTAACTTTCCAGATATTCTGTTGTAGTGGTACTTAACTAAGTGAAACTTTTTAAAAATTAAAGTGGCTTCTGTGCATTTCTGTTGAAAGTCATTTCCCAAATAATACATCTGACATTTAAGTCTCATTAAACTTTTGTTTTTAACATTTTCATTTTAATTAGATGGGCATGTTTTGTTTTCTTTACCTGTAGAAATTTTCCAGTCCCTCCTGCATGAGATATCACAAATAAAATTTCGGCTAAACTTGAAGGTGAGCTGTTGTGATTTTATCCCTTATTTTTTAAGATGTTATCTTGAAAGAAGTTTTATTAACAATATTTACTTCCTTAGAATAATCTAATTAAATTTTAATAACATATTCATACAGTTTTATACTTGCCTTTTTCTATATTATACACTTTTTTTTTATAGAACTATTGAATGATAAAATATACTACTGGACAGTATATATTTTAGCAATTGTGAACTATATATGTTATAAAGAGATCAATGCTGTTTTATTTTAAAAACTATATAAATGTATGTTCCTAAAATTAATTTTTTGTATAATTTTTTTAGAATGCAAGCTTTTTGGATGAAACTTGGTTGCTTGGGGTATGTTGTTTGTGTAATATGAATACTTGTAATTAACACCATCTTGGCCAATTAAAGTATGTTTTTACCATTTAAATAAGTAGATTTATTTTTAAAGATATTTGTATCTTGGACAGAGTGAACAATAATTTATAAACAGCTACATTTTGAAGTCATATTTCAGTGTTGCCTATAGCTGTTTACAAATCTGTGTTTCATTAGTAATTGTTCTGACGCATGATATAAAAGCATGGCAACAAAGGCTGTAGTTATAAGACGTGGATAATGTAGTGAGTAATAAGACATCGATAATTTTTATTCTCTAAGAATAATAGTTTTTTGGAGAAATACAAGTCTATAATTAGGGATAGGCAGAAAACATCTTAAAAAATCAGTTAGTACATTATTTGCAGGAGAGACTTTAGAGCTGCACAGAAATAAAAGTTTGAACTTTTTTTCATTTTTATTTCTAAGTTAAATTAAATAAACATTGAAAATTATAAATGATCAATGCAAAATTATTTTGGAGTTAAAAATTAATATATATGGCACCATGTGCTGACATATGCACTTTTCAGAGCATAGTGTGTCTGCAAAACATGAGTGATCACTGTTTGAAAGAAGTACTTAAAGTTAATAATTTTTTTGTTGTTGTTAATCTCATTAAAAATCCCATGCACCTTCTACTTTCTACTAAAAAATTTATCTAACTAGAAAGTTTATTCAGTTGTTAAAAATGAAAATAAAGTAATTTATCAAAACCTAAAGTTTTTTTGTGAAAGTTAAATATAAGCTCAAAGATAATTCAGGCAATATATGTAATGCATCGTAATACTAATTTAGTACTTAAACATACATAATGACTCTATTATTGTGTTTTCTTAACAGATCTACAAGATGTATGAGTTTGTTCCTTGTAAAGACTTGGGTGTAAGTTTGGGGTCAGTATTATTATTCACTTCTAAATGTATAGTTTTGTAATATCTCTATGGATTTAAAAGGAAAAAACAAGTTTACATACAAGTTTTTCAAATTTATTAATCAGAATTATTTATTTTGTTATTAGAAGTAATAATTAACACACTGACTGTACTTGGTCCACTTGGTTTTATTCTTATAGTATCTGATAGACATTTAACAGTGGCTCTACTCTGTGTTTTTCCATCTGATGGACATTTATACATATTTCTTTAACATTTTTATCATAGATTTGTTAAAGGTCGAGCCATTGCTGTGGACATAAGAGAAGGTAGTGTAGGTGCTGAAGATGTAAGAAATTAATCATTTGTATTATTCCTACTAAAGTATCCATAATTACAATTTTTATGAAGGTGAAATTTGATAAAAGATTGCAGATGATTTGTTTACCTGCAAATACATGTATGATAATATTTCATTAGTTTTAGTGTAAATTTAATAAAAATCCCGGTTTTTCGTAAAAATATTGGAACGTCTGTATTTTTGTAACACACATAACTGTATTTTCAGTTTATTAACTAATAAATCCAACCGTTACTGTATGATGTAGGATAATTATTGACATCAGTACTGTTTGATTAAAACAATGAAACACAAACGTTTCTACAAAGTAAACAAACTCTTCTTTCTATGTTAACATATACCGAGACTTCACGTACGAGATGTTGTTGTTTTTCATAATTACAAATTCATTCATTTTTGTATCCTGAAACCTGGCAAAGTTGAAAGTCTGCTCTGAGTAGTTCTCTGCTTTTATAGGTGTGACTGTCTATATTTTAATAGCAAATTTTAGTAAAATAGATAAAAAACCTAAATGTTAATTACTTTTATGAGAACACTGCTGCAACCCACACACACATGCACATACACAGAAACTTTGATGCAACCCTTCTGATATAGGCTGACTCGGTGTATTCTTGTTGAAAAGTATTGTCCTTTGTTGTTTATCTTTTAGGATCAGATAGAAGTTGGTGATGTGTTGGATGAATTATATGGAGAACCACTTTTTGGTTGTCGAAAGGGACTTGTTTCATCTCTTATGGAAAGATTTCAAGGTCTTCCTGTATATGCTTGTGTTATCAAGGTAGAGTTTTATTTCATTTTAATCTTTTGTGTATTGGTTAACGTAAGCCTTCCTCTGTTAATTTGGAATATTAATGTTTATATTGGATAACTGTCTGTTTAACATCGATAAGTTTTTGTTTAATGGCATAGATTTTGATTTCTGATACAATGATGTTGATTTTGAAATAATGTTATAAAATCAGTTTATGATAATTTTCATTTTATGATTAAAATATTTTTATGCATCAGAAAATTTTCAAATTTCACATGTGAAATCTTTAGATAGTTAAAAAACATTTCTAAAGAACAACTTGTATATTTTCTCTGTTATTTTCAGTAACAAATTTCCAAAACACACTTACCTTCACTGACACTATAGCTATTTCTCGATCTCCAGGGTTTCCACTCTTTAACCATCTAAGCATTGAAAAAGCTTGCTCTAGTCTTTTATACTGCACTTGAATGCCTTTGGCAAATTCTAATTTGCAAATTTCACCACCAATGTGCCCTCAATCTAGGTACTGTATATAAACACCTCATTCAGATAATGTAATCACTTTTTCTCTACAAAGCTTTTGGCACGGTTTTCTATTAACATAAGTGTTGTTATTATTCACATAATTTACGTTGCAACTTTGGACGTACTTGGCGTGACTACGGTTATATCTTCACTTATATTTGTAAAGTAATTAATTAACAAAAAAATGGGTATGAATTCCCGAATTAATGTTTCTACTACGGAGGTCAACCAGACCTCTTTCTCTTCCACCTCTACTATCTGATGGTCAGGGGAAGGGTTCGCTCTCAATTGAGGCTGTCTGTGATATGATCTGTTGTAAGATGGAGACATATATGTGGACTGAAGGTGCATCTCCGGGGGGGTTCTGAGGTGGCTTTTGTAAATGACTCTGGATCAACTGAGATAATTTAGACTTGCTTTTTCTGGCTTCTTGTTTTACTAGGTCAGCCTTAACAGAGGATCCTCTTGATCAGCCACTTTTCTTCAGTTGGTTACTCGGGTTTGTGAGGTTTAGGGGGTCTCTCCTGTTGCATTTGACTCTACTCCTTCCTTGTTGGTGGAAAGGATGGCTAGAGACTACTTGGTTTTTCCTTCTTCTCCTGATATTGCTGCTCAGTTACGCAAAGGGATAGCTATGCCTTGTCCCCCATGTTTCTCCGAACAGCATGCATTGGCTTTTCACTGCCAGGAAGAAGTATATTTAGATTCTCAATGGATGGAACCCCTTTTGTACCTGTGGGGTTCTAGATCAGAAACCTTTGATCACTTTGAACAGATCACAGTTTTCTCACACTTATCTTACTCTCACTACTATGCTGAGGTATTTATCTTCGATCCAATTTTTGTCGGAAGCCTATCAACGTTCCCCTCAGCAATTTGAGGACAAGTTGGGGACTTTGCCAACGTCTACTTCAGTCAGATTGTCTTCTTCTGGTTTCTTGTTGCGATTTACTGGGTAGAGATGCCTTGTTAGAAAATGTTCGTTTACCATCTTCTGCCCTCAGGGAGTTACTGGAAGCTTCTTTTCTCCATCCCATGTGTTTGCTGGAGATCCAGTGACATTGGAATCATGAATTTAGGGATGTTTTTAAAATAAATTTATATTTAAACTTCATGAAATAACACAATTTTGTACAAATAATTGAATGTTATGCTACTATTTACAAAAATAGAATCTGAAATCCAATAAAAGATAAGTTCTCTATAATTTTCTCTATTCACAAATGTGATTTTGCCCTCACGATAAAACAAAATGGCCCCGGTAGGTAAGGGGTTAAAAGGAATTTAAACCCTCTTTGTCCTAAAGTATCTACCATATCCCATTTTCTGACTTGGCTATTAGAGAGAGGTCTTGCTTCGTCTACAGTAGCTTTGTATAAGGTATACTTATCCACTATTTCTTGGTATTCTAAATATTGGAAGGTTTTTGAATACTCAGTATTATCAGGTCTACTCAAATCGTTTCGTATTCTTTGACCCAAATGACCTTTCCAATTACCAAACTGGGATTTTACAGTTGTTGTACATGCATTGTCTCATCCTCCCTTTGAGCCCTTAGCTTCGTGTTCTTTGTTTCGCCTTTCTCTTAAATTTTATGTTTTGTTGTTGTTGAATCATGGACATCGCCAGTCAGAGTTCTTTGCAATCCATGTGTATTAAACTCTTTTATCATTCCACATTTGTCCTGCTTTACCCCAATAGGTCTTTTCTTTCCCAAGACTCTGGCAACCAGGGAAGGGGAAAGATCCCTCTCGCCAATTCATTTGCCAGTGATTTCTCATCTTTATCACCACTCTGATCCTGAACATTTGTTGTCCTGTTAGGACCCTCAAGTGTTACGTGGCTCGTATAAACTCATTTCGAAATAGTAGGAATCGATTGTTCATTCACTGGAATCCTTCTATTTCCTGTGACTTATCTCCCATTACTCTAACTCGCTGGCTTCATAAATTGATTCGCATTGCCCATAATGGATTATTATTACAGGAGAGGAAGCTTTGGCATGTCACTTCTCACCAGATTCGTCATATCTCTAGGTCATTAGCCGCCCAGTTGAATTGCCCTCTGAAAGACATTGTGCAGGTTGGTATGTGGACTACTCATAATACTTTCCTCTTCTGAGGGTTTTCAACTACCCCTGGTAACTATTTTGACCACATCTGTTAGATTTTCACCAAGGGCGGGTATTTCCTCACTATAATTTTTTTAATTTCAGGGTCCCTTTTGTTTTTTCACTGGCGAGTTTTGCCCAGGCAGGTATGCTTTCTCTTTTCAATTCTGCACTAGCAACCACATTCACTAAAATTACTACAGGTTTCAACATGCTCTGTTGAAATGGGGTGTTACATAAGACCATCTAGGCTCTTACTGGATGGTATTACCTTTTTATCATGGTCTGCCACTTATGGACTATCATGTGTAAAGCTAAAAGGGATCCTGCTCATCCCTGCCGAACTTCAGGTTGAATAAATTGGGGTTGGTTTGCTTTTGAAAATGTAGGTTCACCTATTGTGCAGTTTCCAGAGCACTGTTCCTCAGGATTCTCCAATGCATTACCCCCCCAGACTCTTTCTTCTACTGGTGAAGCTCAGGAGTCCTTACCACATCCAGTTTCCAAATGCTGGGGTGGTGGACAGAGACTTTTCCTCCAGGGTGTTTGAGTGTGTTCCTCCACTCTTGGAGAAGAGGGTGAAGTTGGGGGCTCTCCTATTCGGGTCCCTGGATGGTTCCCCAGATGTCAGTAGTAGTGGCACCAGCCTCTGTGGGAGCCTACTCATAGTTCTGGTTCAGATTTGACACAAAGATATCCAGTTGGGAGGGGTGCATGGCCCTTCTCTTTTATCAGTGCCAGTTTCATATATTGTTCATGGATGGAGGTCCACTATCTCCTCATAATTCTGAATGCGAAGTGGTCCCAACCTGGGTCCTTGGTTGAGCACAGGCTCCACATCTCCATAATTCCAGGGGAAAGTGGAATACTCCTTGCCCACTTGGTTGGAGAGTAAGGATGAATGTTCATAATTTCAGACCAGATGAGTTGTGTTCCTTTGGTTGAGTATGGCATACTAGATCCCGTCATTCCAAGCCTGGGGTGTTGCCTTTTGGATTTTATTAGGTGGAGGAGAAAGTTTGTCCACTTCATTGTTGCTTACTTTCTTGTCATGAATCCGGTGGTATGAAACGCATCACTCTTTGGTTACAGATTGGGATCCAATTAAAAGTATATATATAATGTTGTATATATACAGTATCTAGATAGAGGGTACATTGAAGTTGGCAGAGAAATTTGCAAATTATAATTTGCCAATGGCATTCGAGCGAGGTATATAAAGACTGGAGCAAGCGTTTTCAATGCTTAGATGGGCAAAGGGTGGAAACCCTGGAGATTGAGAAATAGCTATAGTG